GTATATAGACAGTCCTTCTCTCCTATGTCAGCATGTTACTTTTGTGGTAGATTCATGTATATTCCATTATTGCGCAGTAACCTATGTTTCTGCCCTTACGTGTTTGAAATGATAATTAGTGGTAAAATTAATAAAAGACAATTTCCACATCATGAAGAAGATATTATTTACTTTTTTCTCCCAAATCTTAATTTATTTATATAAGAACTAGAGTACAGGCCAGATGCGCAGGAGTGTGAGAGGATTCACCAGAGACAGAGCAGGAAACAGAACAGGCAGACTGATGAAATACACTGCTGAGCGGAGCAGCAGGCACGACGGGAGAGGTCTGCCACGCCATGTGGGACCCTCGCTGGCTGGCCGGGATTGAACTGGCGCTGCAGAGGCTGTGGACAGCTTCACAGCGCAGCACTCAACCGCCTGCTCCACCACGGGAGGCCCAGATATTATTTACTTTAGTAGTTAAGGAATAAAAGATCTTGTGAGCTTGCATTCACAGGAGTTATAAATATTAAAAATGGTAATATATGTATTGAGTACTTATTATGTGATCAGTACTAGGAAGATTAAATTTTTACACAATAGTATTTTTTTTTTTTAAGATTTATTTATTTATGCACACAAGAGCTGGGGCACAGGGCAGAGATGTGGGGATTGGAGAAGGATCCACCAGAGACAGATTGGGACACAGAACAGGCAGAATGACTGAAATACACTGCTGAGGGGAGCAGCGGGCAAGACAGGAGAAGTCTGCTGCGCCATGTGGGTTTCTCCCTGGCCGGCCAAGGATCGAACTCATGCTGCAGAGGCTGCGGATTGCCTCATAGTGCGGCGCTTAACCCTTTGCGCCACCAGGGAGGCCCACAATAGTATTTCTGTGAGAAATATGCCGTCAGTAAATTCATTTTAGAGATAAATAAGATTCATAGGCATTAGCAACTCACCCAAATGGAAGGAACTTGTGTTTAAATTCAGATTTTCTGACTCTAGAGCTTGAACTTCTAACCACCATTAGTAATTAGTGTTTTAACTGAGCCTGAATTATTGCTAATGTTTCTGATGTTCATGTAACAGTGTATGTATTATGGTTGGGAGGGATGCAAGGGCTGCCAGTTTCAATAAATAAGGGAAATGCTCATTTTGTATTTATTATTTGAAAAGTTTCATGTGTCTTCACTTTGTGTTGATTATCATGGGCATGTATTGATTAATGCAAAAAAATGCCCAAAAATAGATGACTGGATCACGAAGATGTGGTACATATACACTGTGGAATATTACTCAGCAATCAAAAAAGATAAACTCATGCAATTAGCAGCAACATGGATGGAGCTGGAAGGGATCATGCTCAGCGAAATAAGCCAGAAAGAAAAAGAAAAATACTGCATGGTCTCACTCATAGTAGGCATTTAGAAAACCTAAATAAGGGACCAGGAAAAAGACTAATTATAATAAAGTAAAAATCAAAATCAACAAGCAACTATAAACCAGAGACACACTACGGGAGGGATTAGGGTCAAAATAAGGGGGGTGGGAATTGTTTGGGGACTATAACCAAGATGAAAATGCATACATTGTGCAAAAATGAAAAAGATGTAAAAATATATAAAGTGAAAAAAACAAAAAAAAATGTATTAAAGAATATATTAAATATTACTTTACCTGGAGACTGTGTTAGCAAGTTCTGCTAGGGTTGCTGAATAAAACACAGGATGTCCAATTAAGCCTGAATTAAATGAAGAAATTCCAGATTAACTGGGCATCCTGTATTTTTATTTGCTAAATCTGGGAACATTAAGTTGGGCACGTGGACAAGAACTAACTGGTGTTAATTAATTAACTGTATAAAAAGTGCTAATTATACAAGCCACATTGAAGAATAAGTTCACACATTTTCATTTTTTAACTATCCCATGTGTCAAGAATGTACTTAGAGAACTTGTGACTATGAAATAGAACTGGTCAAATCCAGAGTGCACGTCTCTATGCCATCATTTCTAATTGGAGGTCTCTACTGAGAAGTCTGGGAACCCACTCATTTTTTTGTAAAATGTGTTTATGAAAATACCATTTTCTGAGTTTCTTCTTTTCTGAAGGGATTTGACTATAGGAATGAGAGGGCTTCAACTGGCCAAGACTGGTAATTTGATCAGTAGTGGTATTATTGGGAGTAGGAGACGCCAAAGTTTAAAAGTCAACTACTTGGGACATTGAATAGGAATAAAATGTCTCTGTGTGTAGTGGACCAGTAGCAAAGAAATTAAGAAAGGAGATGAGAGTCTCCCTGGTGGCGCAGGGGTTAAAGACAGCAATATCAAGCCATCACCAGCAATTGCAGCACAAGTTTGATCCCCAGCCAGCCAGGGAGAAACCCACATGGCGCAGCAGACCTCTCTGGTCTCGCCCACTGCTCCCCTCAGCAGTGTATTTCAGTACATCCTCCTGTTCTACTCCCCACTCTCTCTGGGGAATCCTCTCACCCTCACACCTCTGGTTTACACTCCACTCTTTGTATGCATGAATAAATAAATATTTTTTTTAAAAGAAAGGAGATGATATGAAAGATAAATGATATGATTTGGTAATTTTTGGCAAGGCAAACCAATTTAGTTCTCTGGAAAAATAGCACTCTGCTGGAACCTAACATATTCCTCAAAAATACAAACCTCATGTAGGACCAAGATTTTCAAAAGATACATTGCCAAAAATTTTAATGTAATGTTTAGCTGCTGCACAATTATTAGTGATTTTTTTTTTTTTGCTACAGATTTTTCAGATCAGCAGAGTTCCCTCAGTGACAATTCACCACTCCTTTCCCCAGTCACTAACTCCTAGAACATTTGGCAGTACCCGGAGTCATTTTTGGTTGTTACAATGGAGGTTTCTTCTGACATAAGGTAGAGGCCAGAGATATGGGTAGACAGACATCTTACAATATCAAGAACAGCCCTTTTTCCTCCCCACCTCACTGCCAACCACAAAGCTTTATCTAGTCCAAAACATCAACAGTGTTGAGGTTGAGGTTGAAAACAATGGTTTACACTCTTGCTTGTAAAAATTCTAGACTCACACTTTGTATATAAACTCTCTAATTCAGATATTTATGGTTTATTTTAGCTTGTTTCATGACCAAAAAAAAAATTAACTGGACAGTTGTACAAATTTACCACTTTCTTATTGAATATAATCAACTCAAGTTCAAAATACTCATTTTTATTTTTTGCCTTATGTAATGTTTTTAAAATTTTCATGAGCTCTTGGCCACCACATCTTTGTTACTTTAATTCTCCTTTATAAGTTATCAATGGTGGTGATTGCCACAAGCATTTTCGATAAAATATTTGAAATTTCTGCCTTAATTCTTACTATTGATATCAGATACATCCATTTATTCATCTCACTTTTAAACAGAGTGATTCTTTCTTTTTATACTTTCACAGTTTACTAAAATATAGATAAAATATGAATTTATATGACATGTATATGTAAATACATGTATAAATGTTGTATTTGCATACATTGAAAACACAGAGGCACATAAAACTTACAAGAGCTCTGAGACTTGTGATTCTTTACCTTATTAGATCAGATTTGCTGAATATATTTTAAAAATTTGATTTTTAAAAATCTGATTTTTAAAAATCTGATTTCTGAACTTTCTGGATCTAGAAATGCAGAAAAGGAATTATAGTCTGTATTGAGATTATGGATTTAATCTCTTTAAATTTGTCACTGGTTTCCCATTTCCCATTACATAGCTATAAAGCCAACCCTCTGCCATCACCTAAAAGCTTTTAAATACCTGGACCTTGGGATTTCTCTGGCTAATCTTCAGCGGGACTGTTTTGTTCTGTTTTATTGAAGGTCGTCAGGTCTATCAAGTGTTTCCTCGGGGTATGACCTTTACCTGAAACATGCTGTAGGGGCAGGATGGGCACTGAGCAGGTTTTCTATGCTCCCGCAGATGGGTAAAGGAGAGTCCTGGAGCCCTTGGTGGATTTCTCAGGCTTTCATTGAGCTGTTACACATAGTTCAGCAACCAGGTACACGGCAGGCACCGGGGCCAATGGGCCAGGAGGCCAGCAGGCCTCCTAGCCCTGGGCAAGTCTTCACTCTGAGCTTCTCTCGCCCCTTCTGTCTCCCTGCCTCTCTCCTGCTTCGGCTTCTCTTCGTGAATATCTCTCAATACTCCTCCCATGGCCCACAGAAGTAAACAAGATAATTTGCAACAATGTATCAACTGCAGGTGCCCCATCAGGCAGGGCGATCCAGATGGTGGGAGGGCAGAAAAGTCTGAAAACCATTTACCCTGCGCAGGCCTTCCTCCGCCTATTCCCGCAATCTACACACACGGCTTCCCTCCCTCCAGCGCACGTCCACTGACTACCAGGTCACATCTTGAGTGTCTCCCTTAGGGACCAGTTCTCTGACACGTTAAGATGAGTTATCACACGTTTACTCTATTTTGAAATTCAGACTTTCCTTTGGGCATTTCTCACCCCCATCTGTGTGCTGGGTTTTGTCATCACTTGCACTGAACTTTGAGCTCCGCCAGGGGAGGAGACGTGCATGTTTTTCTCTCCTCTGGACAGGCAGCGGGCAGCACCAGCCCGGCCGAGGTCAGCCCTAACCAGGTGTTTACAGGAGGAGGGGGCTTCTTTCAGGGGGCCCCGGAGCCCCGGGGTGGGAGCAGAGTCGGTGGGGGCGCCTGCAGGAGGAGTGGGGAGGAGGTGGGGTCTTGCCCAGCTGCTCCTGCAGTCGGGAGCCGGCGCGGACACTGGGTGAGATCCCGAGGCTCACACTGGAGGGATTTCCTCCGCAGGGGAGGCCTCCCAGGCCAAGCAGATGAAGGGTGAACCCCTGGGGTACAGGTAGTGGGGGTGTGGGTGGAGCCAGCCAGGGGTTCCAGTACCGGAGGAAACCCAACCCTTTCATTGGTGGCGCCTCCTCAGTCTCCTTCCAGGAGGCGACCCCGTAACCTGCTTATTTCTGCTCCACAGCGCATTACTTGGAGTACCTTAAATCCGAGTGTCATTTCTCCAACGGGACGCAGCGGGTGCGGCTTGTGGCCAGATGGATCTCTAATCAGGAGGAGAACGTGCGCTTCGACAGCGACGTGGGGAATTTCATCGCGGTCACCGAGCTGGGGTGGCCAAGCGCCAAGCACTTGAACGGACAGAAGGACGTCCTGGAGCAGATGCGGGCCAATGTGGACAGGTGCAAACACAACTACGGGGTCGTTGAGAGCTTCGCAGTGCAGCGGCGAGGTGAGCAAGGCCGGTGGGCTGCCGGGGTGTGTGTGTGTGTGTGTGTGTGTGTGAGAGAGAGAGAGAGAGAGAGAGAGACACACACACATACTATGAGAGAGACTGAGAGAGAGAGAGAGACTGTAAGAGAGGCTGTGAGAAAGAGAGAAAGAGGACTGTGAGGACTGTGAGAGAGAGGGAATGAGAGAGAACGAGGGAGACACTGTCCGTGTTGGGTTGTGGGTGTCAGTGTGTAGTGAGGGGTGCACTGTTAGGTGTGCAGGAGCAGAGGTTGTGGGGGGGGGGTCCATGATCTGAGGAGGCGAGTGTGGTGGCGTGTGGAGGGTGCAGAAGAGAGGGCCTCGGGTGGGCACTGCGGCAGAGGTCAAGTGGGACATAATGGAGGTGTCAGTGCAAGCGCTGGAGATGGAGAAACCTTGATTGGGTGGGGGTTTAGATACAGAGAAAAGGAACATGAACGTGTCCCTAGTTGGAGTGAGGGTTTAGGGAGGAGAGAAATGTAAACCATTTCAGAACTCTTGATGAGGCTCTTCACAAGTTGTTGTCACACCCCCTCCTTATTTGTGAAACCACTGAAATAGTGGGCATGTGTTTGTGTGCATAAGCATTTCATTGAGGAAAAAAAAAAGTCTCACACTAATTTTGGAGGGCGGGCGACTGCTGATACACCTTTAATCTTAGAGGCTTCTTTTGGGTCTAAAATTGCTTATATTTTCTTAGTGTATTCACATAGTTGAGGTGATTATGAAATCAGGGTTTTAAGTTTATAATTGTTACTTAACTTGCTGATGTGACTATTTGTACAATGTTAATCATATTTAAGTAGTTCGTATTATTTGTTTATAGTTGTGACAATTTATTGCATATTATGCCCACCTTAGATATTCTCAACATTGACCAATACCATTGAAAAATATGTCTGTTATATTTCTTTGATTTCGAAGTCTCCTGAACATTTTTCACATATTTTGGTTAATTGTTACTACTCTAAGAATCATCTATTATCTTTGGGGTCCTTGTGTTTTTCTCAGTAATTTTATAGACAATGCAATGGTGAACACTTTGCTTATAGGTGAGTCAGCACTTTGTCTAGTCTGTGCTATTTTTTATTCTATTTATTATTATAGTTATTTAAACATGTTTATTAAATGGAATATAATGCAAAATTGCTAGTCATAATTTACCACCAATCTTAAGTCTACCTTTGTCATAAAAGTAAAATTGTTTTTCCCTGAGGGTTTCTCATTCCTTTTCTAAAATCATATTTTTTGAGCCTGGTAGTGTCAGGGATTGTCTTGGGCACTAATCCCACATCTCAAAAGGTCCAGACCCTACCCTGACTCAAATGTCAGCTTGAAAAGAGAAACAGTTGTAAAATTATCACAATTCCAATAATAGAGATGCTTGGGTTTTTTTTTTTTTATATTTATTTATTTATTTATTTATACAAGCACTGGGTACAGTCAGAAGCGCGGGAGGGTGAGAGAATTCACCAGAGCCAGAGCGGGGAGCAGAGCAGGCAGAAGGACCGAAGTACACTGCTGAGGGGAGCAGCGGGCAGCAGGAGAGGTCTGCGCGCCATGTGGGACCCTCCTCCGGTGGCCGGGGAGCAGCCGGGGATCGAACCGGTGCTGCAGAAGCTGTGGGGAGCTTCGCAACCCAGCGCTCAACTGCTGCGCCACCGGGGAGGCCCTCATCACACTGCTTTAAATCATATTTTCTCTCCCAGTTAACAAGGACAATAAATAGTTAACATATATGGAAGACTAAGTTCCAGACTAAGTTTTATATATTTTAAGTCCACATAATTCTCATATAATCTTAAGAACTTATATATACTAATCCTGAGTTCCTTTTTACATTTCCCTTCATAAAGAAGAAAACTGAGGCACAGAAGAATTGAAAAATCTTTCCCAGGATCAATCAGTAAGAGACAGAACTTGGATTTGAACCCAGGTAGCCTGGATACAAGAATCATGCTAGTAATTAATGTACCCAATGCTGTACAATGGTTTATAAACACTTAATTTAACAATGAATTACTGCTTCATGCCGTGAAAAAACCTGCAAATTTCTTCAGCATTTCTCAATCTAATGGGCTCCTACTCTAAGGTTAAAATTAAGGCTCTGGGCATTAATTCCTGTTGGACCATATGGTCAGCTTTGAGGGAGGTCTGCCTGAGACCCTGAGACAGGACCTGAGACTAGTGCCTGGGGGCAGAAAGGCACCAGCCAAGGCCTCTTATTTCATCATTCTCACTTATTTCCTCTACATTTCTCTCCTAGTTGAGCCCACAGTGACTGTGTATCCTTCAAAGAACCCATCCCTGCAGCACCACAGCCTCCTGGTCTGCTCTGTGAATGGGTTCTATCCAGGCCACATTGAAGTCAGGTGGCTCCGGAATGGCCAGGAGGAGACGGCTGGGGTCGTCTCCACAGGCCTGATCCAGAATGGAGACTGGACCTTCCAGACCCTGGTGATGCTTGAAACAGTTCCTCAGAGTGGAGAGGTCTACACCTGCCACGTGGAGCACCCAAGCCTGACCAGCCCTATCACAGTGGAGTGGAGTGAGAGTCTTTTTTTTTAAGATTGATTTATTTATTTATACAAGAACCTGGGTAAAGGCCAGATGCTCAGGAGGGTGAGAGGATTCACCAGAGACAGAGTGGGGAACAGAACAGGCAGACTGAAGAAATACACTGCTGAGGGGAGCAGCAGGCGAGTCAGGAGGCAGCACGCCATGTGGGACCCTCACCAGCTGGCCGGGATCAAACCCGCGCTGCAGAGGCTGCGGGCAGCTTCACAGTGAGGCGCTCAATTGCCTGCGCCACCAGGGGAGGCCCTGAGAATCTTTTTCATCTGAAAAATTCATTATCCACCTTGGAGGGGATTTGGCTTATTCTTGAGTCTCAGGTTTCTCATGTGCCCACACCATATTTTCATTTCTTCTATTTCTCTTCTCCTTCAGCACAGGTTATTGGGTGTAACCCTTTGATAATTTCTGCAAATTCCTGTCTTGCCATGGAGGCAGTTAGTTAAACCTGACAAGCAGAAAAGTTTATATTCCTATGATGTCACAGATCCTGGTCACCTGCTTGCTCTGGACTATAATCTTGCCTTGGCTTGACCTGTACTTCTAGAACGATTGATTCTGGATTGTTCTTTGTGATCTGAGAAGAGAAACCTCTTTAACAATGTAGGAACATACCTAATATAAGGGAAGTTGAATAGTCTTTTATTGGCTCTGTCCCCCTTCCTTAACAAGCTACTCAAATTCATTGAGTCTCACGTTCCTCACTCATCAGATTGAAGTGCTGGCCTACGTCAAGGCTGTGATAGTTAAACAAGTTCAATGCTTGAACCTTGTGTCTATGCAGCCTGATTTTTAAATTTCTTCCAGAAAAGTTCATTTATTCTAGTTCTTTGAAGGCAGTCACCACCTTTTCTCAGAGCTCTCAATCTCAGAGTATATTAGAAAAGTTGGATATGGGGCAAAAATCACTAAAACTACCTTCTTTCCTCAGGGCACAGTCTGAATCTGCACGGAGCAAGATGCTGAGTGGAGTTGGGGGCTTTGTTCTGGGTCTGCTCTTCTTTGGGATGGGGCTGTTCATCCACTTCAGGAATCACAAAGGTAAGCAGCCTAGTCATAGCTGAGAGTCCTCTTAGAGTTGTGGGAGAAAAGGATGACTTACTCAGTTTAATTTTCTGTACACTAGCAGGCCTGTTTTTCCTCAACTGACCTCAAATTTCCTGAAAATTCAGAAATCAACAGGTCATGATTAACATGTTTAAACATAAGAGGTTATGACCTATAGAAGCAGGGAAAGAATTAGCATTCACAGAGACCTCAGGGTGAGATCGTGGGACAAATACAAATTTGTGGGAAGTATTTCTAAGGCTGATGAAAATATAGTGACTTTATATATACATGTCATGGGTCCCTAGCTCTCAGTTTATACTTCTTTTCTGGCCTGTCATTATGTGATGCCGGTTGTAATGTTAGAAAAATCTCAGGTTGTTGGTCAGGGTCTGGGAGCATTGTATGTGGGGACAGACTTGTTTCTAATTCTTTTAAGTATATATCATCCCTTCTCTTTCCTGGGATACTCTGGACTTCAGCCAACAGGTAATGCTTTTTAATGCTCTTTTAGAGACATATTCAATTTCCATAGAATTGATGGTAGAAAGTGACAAGACAGAAATAATGGGAAAGACTTGGGCTCTAACTATTGACCTGGCCAGTTTGCACTCAAGTTTCTTCTTGCCATTTAATTACTTAAGCCTGCACTGCAAAATAACTTTGGTTCAAGGTGACAAAAGAATTTTCTCTTTCTTACTGCAGTGTTATAACCTGAGGCCATGAGAGAGGAAAGGAAGCTGCTGGTAGAGTAGGTGTGGAAACAAAACTCTCCTTTCTTTTGCAGGACTACTGAGCTGATGCCCAAGTAGTGACCCTCAAGGAACAGCCTCTGCCCCAGTATCATCTTCGCAGCATGAAAAGTCCTCCTGCTGGCTTTCATTCCACAGAGAGAGTCCCTTCTCACGATCTGGTCTGCTTCTGGTTCAGTGACCTCGCAGAAAATGCCCACCCTCAACTCTGCCCTTGACCTGGAAGTCCCCAATGTTATTGAAATATCTCATAATCATTCTTGCCCAGGTCCCTTTGTATTGAACCCTATGCCCTCTTATGCAAATGAACTCACCTTCTGCCACTATCTCTTTATGTTGCATTATTTTCCTCAACTAAACATGAAATCATCTGCTTTATGCAGCTACAAGGACAGGAAGTAGAGAAAAATGAAGGATTATATCATAAGACAGTAATAGTTTTCATTTATATCCCTGAATTTTGACCACATGTGAATCAGGGGTATTTCCTTGCTTCTGTGGATTTTCTGTGGGTAGTTATTAAAGATTCTAAGCACCAGTTCTAACATGTGGGCGTTTTTCCACATCACCAAGCAATTCTGGAAGTCTTATAATTCAGCTTCATTTTAACACTATCTAACTGGAGATAGGTCAGGTCACACAGATTAAGGGCTCAGCATCGCTAGACTAACCCCTACCACCTGTTCAGAATAGAAAAGGGCCCTCACACATACCCCCAGAGGAACACAATTGCATTTCTGCCACCCTGAGTTCCGCTGGAGCTATTGCCTCATTTAAAGGATGAGCAAAGTTCTGCCAGGTCCAGGAAGGCTGTGAAGAGTCTTTTTACCTGTAGTTTACTCACTTGAAAAGTGGAAGGGAGGGAGTAGTTCCATTTAGTCTGAGTGTCTGGGGGAGTAATGGGAGCAAGGTATGTGTAATTAAGAAATTAAAAAAAAAAAAACCATAAAAACCCTACTGCTTTATTGCTGCTCAGGACATCTCTCCTGTTTTCAGAGACTGTCTAAATTCCTCTCACAGTGTTCTCTTTTATGGTTTCCCAATAAATTCTGTTTTTTTTTTCTTGGAAGACACCAAGGACACTCTGGTGTTGTATTCCTTAAAATCCTCACTTTGCAGATGCCTAGAATAATTTTCAAAAATTGCTATATCTACCAAGCTGTGTTTTCTTGTCACAAGGGGCACGCTGATGATCACAACAGCTGAAATGGAAAGAAATTGGCCCAAATTAGCTCTTGGACAGAGTGACTGAAATAATCTAGAGATGACATTTGCTTCATTAAAGAAAATTTGTTAAAAATAAAGTTGAGGAGGGGACCTCCCCTGGTGGTGCAGCGGTTTAGCGCTGGGCTGCGAGGCTGCGAGGCTGCCCGCAGACTCTGCAGTGCCGGTTCATTCCCCTGCCACCGGCGAGGGTCCCACCAAAAAAAAAAAGTTGAGGAATCACTCTAGTTAAATGTAATACTTTTATATAGCTGTAGTAATCAAAACTGATTGGTGTTGTGGAGAGATGGACACATAGATTGATGGAACAGGGTAGAGAATTGAGAAACAGATCAATACCTCTTACTTTTGACAAGGTGCAAAGCAAGTGGATGGAGAATAAATAGTCTTTTCAAACAGTGATGCTGGAGCGAATGGCTACCCATAAGCAAAAAAGAAAAATAAGTGAAAAAAAACAGAAATAAAAGAAAGAAAATAGTTCAATCCTCATATTTTACACCAAAATTCACTCAAAATAGACTGTAAATTTAAATGCAAAATATAAAAGTTTTAGAGGAGGGAATCTTTGGGTCCTATGACTTAGTGAAGAGTTCTTAGTCATGACACCAAATATATAATTCATAAAAGAAATACATCAATGTCAAATTTACAAACTTTATAAAATTTGAAACTTTTGTTTGGCAAAATATCCTAAGAGACTGAAATGATAAAGTACACAGAAAATGTTTGTATGCTCCCAAATGTCACAAAGGACATGTATTTGGAATATAGACCAACTCTCAAAATTCTGCAAAATACTCTCAAAATTCTCTCAAAATACCTAATTTTAGGCAGAAGACTTGAAGAGACATTTTACTGAAAAACATATGCTGATGGCAATATGCATTCTGAATGATGTTCAACATCACTACCCAGTAAGGAAATACAAATTAGGAACATGCTGGTAGAGGTCTGTTGGGAGAGACCCCGCACAGCGAGCAGAAGGGCCTTATCCTGAGTCCCAAAGGTCTGTGAAAACACATGCGTCTTGGAGGAAAACCTTTGAGTGACCGGGTCCGGTGTTGAGTGCCCGGAATGTGACCTGCGTGGAGTCAGGCCTCTAAGTCTCTACAGTCTTAGAATAACAAGAAATAATGAGCGAGATTCCCATGCTCTAGATAGGGGGCGATGGGAGTAAACAGTTATCAGTAGCAAAGCAGAATAATTTAAGATGTCATTGCGTGGTATGCAAGACCTCCACAGAGGTCTTCCTGGTGGCCTACGGGTTAAGTCTCAGCACTATCATCATTACCACTGCTATAGCCTGAGTTCTATTCCTGGCCAGGGAACTAACCCACACATGGAGCAGCAGACCTCCTCTGTCTCGTCTGTTGTTCCCCTCAGCAGTGTATTTCAGTAAATCCACCTGTTCTACTCCCCACTCTGTCTCTGGTGAACCCACTCACCTCCTGCAGCACTGGCAACAACCCCAGCTTTTCTATGAAAAAAAGAAAAACCAAACATGCTGATACATCACATTCCTACGAATACTAGCACGCACATATAAGACAATCAAAATATAAAATACTGATATGCAAAATGTTGGTGACAATGCAGAGAAACTGATCTCATAGACTGTAAGAAGGTATAGTACCTCGGGAAAATAGTTCAGCAGTTTCTTTAAAAAAATGAACACATACTTGCCACATAACCCAATAATCATATTTCTGAGCATTTATGCTTCATTGCAACTTTATTTGTAATAATCCAAAACTAGGAACAACCAAAATTCTCTTCAAGAGAGAAATAGTTAAACTATGTGTTTTGTGTCAGTCTCAGCCAGTTGATGGCTGATACTGCAGCTGGCTGGTCCTTGTTAAGAATGCAAAATGCCCTTCACCAATAGGCACTGAGAAACTGAAAAAGCAGAGCTTTATTATTTACCAGACCGGACCTTACAAGGTACACCTGGACCACAGTGACGTCCCAGGCAGAGAGTGTGAACAGGCCTGGGATTCCGCTTTGACTGGGTGAAGGATGGAGGTGTAGGATTTTCCAAAATATAAAATTTCCTTAAAATGTACAATTCACTTGCCTTGTCTGCACTAGAAACTGCCACATGACACTGTCTTGAGATAATAGTGTGCTGTCGAGACCATCTGGACTGCACATGTAACTGAACCTGATGGAGGCATTTAAATAAATGTAAGATTCTGACTGCTAGACACAGAGCTCTACTTTCCCATGGTTATTCTAGACAATTGTTGTAGGTCCTCTTGTTTATTAAAACTGCCGCTTATCGAGCTGTTGTCAGATTGTTTTCAAATTTCTCCTTGCAGTCTCTGTGCAGAAGCTTGTTTGTGAACCAAAAATTGGTGAGCAGTCAGAAGATTAGGTAGAGAAATGTGTGTGTGGGAAATCCTGAGTTGCCCATAGACCTCTGTGTGAGAGGGGGTGGAAAGCATGTTAACTGTCTCATTTAGAACCCAGTCCCAAGCCCAGCCCCCCATGCAGGGTCACTAGGTCCTGTGAACAAGGTGGGAGCTCTGAGACCTCACTGGGCCATCACACATGCACTGTCTGTGGTCCTGGGACCTGATTCAGGCCCAGACAGACCCCTCCAGGGTGCAGCCAGAGGGCAGCAGGCTTGAGATCAGTTGGTTCCCACCCTCCCAGAGGACAGACACACAGACAAGGATACTGACTGCCTGCAGCAGGGCCAGTCAGGCCTGTGTGAAGTGTGTGCAGGTGACCTCCCCTGCATGGAGCCCTCCAAGTCAGTATGAACCTGAGGCCCCTGAGCACACTGACCTCCCCTCCAGGGACAGCACACCCCAGTAACCTCTCTAAGGAGAGGTGCTAGACCGCCCCATGGGGCCCTTGGGAGACAGGAGTCTGGAGGCACAAGCTGCTCCAGGGTTTCCTCCGTGGGAAGAAGGAGGAGCCAGCTCTGTAGCCAGCTCCCCGTATCTCCAACTGGGGGCCTTGCTGCACCTGGCCATCCCAGGGATGTGGGAGCTGTGCTGGTGTCAACTGGTA